GATACATCCTTCCACAAACTAATTCAATTACCTTTAATATGCAAATCAACCTCAGTCATATGTCACTTCTTTTGAAGTAATGTTCAAGTATTGCTATTAACGCTGTCTTTTTGATTCTCAGTGAAGATTTTTTTGATACTCAAATTCAGGTATTTACCAAGTAAGTTGAAGGCGATGTATGTATAAATGTAATATAGTCAACGTACTGGTGAGTATAATTGCAGAAAGTTGTTTCTCTTTCTTTTTCTCTTTTTGTTTTGGCTAGTTTTTCTCTTTCTAACTCTTAGCCTCAATCATTATGTTTTGTTTCTCTCTTTCTTTCTTTCTCTGCTTAGGATACATGCCAGGTAGCAGATAGTAAATAATCTATTTCGTTTGGTACAAGTTTTCACTCACATCACTACCCAACAAAAGTGCAACTATTCAGAGGCAAAGTCTTTACTTTTACCACTGTAATCGTGTTCCAGAGGTGGTTTTAGTACCCAGTCGGTTCTAATTAAGTTCATAGTTGATATACGTTTCGATATGGACCAGGGACTAATGGCGCTGTTAGTATACTTTGACTTCCGACGGGAGTTTGATACTACTGGTTACGTGGCTTTGCTTCGTTCTCTTGTGAAGTCTGACTTCTCCGTGAATGCGATCAGAGGGATTTACTACTGTTTGAGTGGCCATTCAAAGGCAATCTTACGCTGGGATAAAACTTTGTCTGAGTCGCGTTTAGTAACATCGGGGGTGTCGTAGGGCTACTCCTCTCGGCCGATACTGTTCCTTGTACTTATAAATTTGGTGCTATCCGTCTTGCGTTTCTCTAAGGCTATGCTTTTCGTAGACGACCTCCATATATATTTATTCTTACTGTACAGACCTCCTGACTTAAATGGAGTATAGATCAAATAAATTATATCAGTTCAGTGGTTGAGTGGTTGCGAGTATGGGGTCTTTCACTGAATGACAAGAAAACTCGTGTGGTCCTCTTTGGCTTGGTGCAGCAGCATATACGATTGAATAGGGAAGATTTGACACCAATCATGACGGAAAATCGTGTGATTCCACTGTCTGAAACAGTAAAGAGTTTGAAGGTGATTTTCTCTGAGGACTTATCTAAGAACCGTCGTGTATCCGGTACTTGCTCTAGGGTGCCGGAAATACTACATTATCTGTTTCATTCTGAAAGCGCTGAGGAGGTTGGGCACCACTCAATGCTTAGCCCCTTCCTTTTTTTCACTATACATTAACAACATGCCAATAGTTCTCAAGCACTTGAAACAGATCAGTTATACAGACAACAAACAGATTACCTCCACTGTTTGCCAAAAGATATCAACTTGAATACAGTAAGCTTCTGAAAATACCACATCCATTGAAAATTGGTCCGACTAAATCGAGTTGTTAATAAACGATGAAAAGACAGGAATAATTTTACTTGAAAGTCAACTATACATCTCTCAGATTAACTTCTATGGCACTGCATCAGTTACAACAAAAGGTATGGCCATCGAGTATGCTGCAGAAGCTAGGAACCTGAGTGTTATCGTCCACTCCTGTCTTAACTAGTCATCTCGAGTAAGCAGTGTCATACAAAAAGTTCACAGAGTTTTCCTAATACTTAGGTTGGATAAACACTCTTTAGTTCAGCCCTTAAAAGAATACACAGTTAAAAACTTGATTTTTCCACATTTTGATTACACGAGTACACGTGTGTTATTAACTGTGCATCAAATGCATTAAAAGTTTTAAACTGCAAAGAGCACTTAAGCCCTGCGCACGCTTTACCTTAGGTTACATTCTCAGGATAGCATATGTTACACTCGATAGAGTGCAACTGTCATTGGAATTCTGTTTAAGTAGGGACAAAATCGGTGAAAACTGATCACTACGAAGACATAATCTACTTCTGTTCATAGCAAACCATAGGGAACAAACATTTCAAGACTAATTTAGAAACAGTAAAGCAAACTTATTTAATTCTATGAGACATCTTGATCCTTGGATTTGCAACTTAAATTGTTACAAGACAGCAGTTTGTAACAATTTATTGCTCCTAGACAAACACAATTGGGAAATCAATATAATAAACGACGGCATAAGTGTTGCTTTTTAACAAAGCATGATAGTCTATACGTCGTTGATGCAAAGCAATATTGTTAATAGTCGCTTGAAATAAATGATACCATTCGACTGATGCAAATTACGAATTTTCAATTAATACTTCCTAATTTTAAATTAACTTACAAACTACATTATCATACTTAATTTACTTGTAAGCTCTGCTCGATGAAAATTATACATGTCTATTGTACACCTCACATATCTTTGTTATTTAATTTTACAGTGAGAGAACAAGTTATAAATTTAAAAAAATATTTTTTGACGAAATCAAGCATGTACGTTTTTTCACTCTTTTATCTTAGTGATCTTCTCGTCCTATTGTATTAAAAAATTATAAGAATTATTAATATTTATTGATATTTGTGCAAGCTCTATGAATGCAAATACTGTTGGCAATCGAGGTGTTATTAGTGATACCTGATGTGCTGATGGTGTTAGGGGTGGTGATGATCGTAGTAATGATAATGTTTCTAATGGTAATGGTGGTAATAGGGTAAGTAATGATGGAGATGGCAGTAGTATTGGTAATAATATATAAGTGGTGGTCGTGTTAGTGGTGGTGGTGTTGATACTAATAAAAGAGGTGGTGGTGATAGTGATAATAGTGTTAGCAGTAATAGTGGTGTCGGTAACCGGATATTTTGGTTATATGCAAGGTAGGTAGATTGTCATTAGGAGTACACAAAGAGAAAGGTAAAGTAGTTATAGAGATGTGCGTGTGTATCAAAGGAAAGAGAGAAAAAATGCGACAAGGATAAGGTAAGAGAAGGAACGACAAAGACTCGTGCTAATCTAGCATGCCTACAGAGAACAGTTTGACGTCGCATCTTGAGCTCATGCATATTCTATAAGACAGCTCGTACTGATTTTAAGTGGATCGATATAATTGCCACCAGTTAGTAGAGCCTTTGATAAGGCAGAGCTATCCCTGTCGCTTAAAACTGCCAAGAGTTGGAATTATCATAAGGGAGTCAATGCAGTTTCTGGCTAGATCATCTTAAGAATTACCTAAACCAGAAAATTTAGTGGCTCAGAAAATCCACATCATTGAAGTACTTCGCAAATTTTTTAAAGTACAATGCTAACATTACTCGCTGTCTCTGTTTTTCTCTTATATATGTGAATTGAAACTTTACTTAATACTGCTTATTTTTTATTTAATGCTATCAAAACCATATATTTTTGTAAGTGATAGTTTTTGCTGTCTGACATGAATGAATAAAATCAGCAGTTACGAAGGACTCACATTGTTTAAATAAAATTATATTTTATTTTATACTCAATCGTTATTTCATATTTATTTCTTATTGTCGTTCATCAAATTTTGTAAACATACACAATTACTGCGAAGTTATAATTGGTAAGTCTGGTGCTCTTAGCTGAAAAATAATATTTTTTAATAACCAACTAAATTTCATAATAAAAATTAATTAAATCAACGTGACACAAATAGAATCATAACAGTGTTAGTGGCTTTGTTACTGATGATGAAGGTGACAATGGTGCCAGTGGTAGTGGTGTCGTTAGTTATGGTTATGGGGGTGGTGATATTGTAAATGATTTTTGGTGGTGATAGTGTTAGTTGTTTTTCTGTCAATTATAATGATGATAGTGATGTTGTTGGTGGTTAAAGTATTAGTGATTCTGATAGTGATGACTAGTTTTTCTTAAATGCTGGAAAGAAGCGACATATTCAGAGACCAAGTAAGTTTATGAAAATTCGGAATGGTGTTGGATTCACAAGGTAAACCAAGCCCTTACAAGTTAAAACTTGCATGAGATCAACGTACAAGGTTTTGTCATCTAGAATCTCAGTGAAGTAATGTGAGAGCGGAAAAGAAATAATAATTTGAAAACATGCGCTGAAGATCAGTGGACAGCTTGTACTTAAAGAAAAAAGAGGGGGAGTACTCAAGCCAGAGGGTAAAACACAGAAATAGTTATAAAACTTCTATATGTACTTGTGGACGTTTGGTAAAAGCAAGTACATGGTGCATTATAAGTACGTAGATGTGCATCTATGTAGAAGTTAGCGTTGTTGCATTTAAAACTATTAAGTGTAACTGTGTGTAATTAGTGTGAAAATGCTATGTGTCTGGTAAGTGTAATAAAATTTTGATAATGTTAATGTTTGTATCTGAGATAGGAAGCTTTTTTGTGTCAAGTAAGTCATCGTGATGCTTCTGAATGAAGCAGGGGCATTTCAGTACATTGTTGTTGAGTGGAGCTCACTTAGTGAAGGCCAAAGTAGAGGGGTTAAGGCAAACCACGATTGACCAATAGAGTGTCATTGCGAAGAGTAGAACAGCTTGAATCTGATAATGATTTTTCAGAATTGTCGTCGCTTAGTTGTACTACTTAAATAATTAAGTGAGATTCAAGCGTGATTTGTCCCTGGCTCAATTTGCAAACCACGAAATTTAAAAATCTAAAACTGCTTATTTGATAGTTTAACTTATACTTTAAGTGATAGTTCTTATTGCTATATTTTTATTTTATGGTACCTTATCTCAGAATGTGATAAATAATTTTAAGAATTCTAATTTTGCTGTTTGCAAAGTAAGTCATAACCAGTGACTCACACGTACGTCATATTCATAGGTGAGGCTACAATACGTACCTTAGTGTATTCATTCACATATATTAACAGTAACTCAAGTAACCAAGAGCGTCTTCAGAACTGGTACCAACCTCAAAGTCAGCTAAAAATGGTTTTTTTATTAAATACTAATTTGTGGCTTGAAGCTTTGGATTTGAACTTGAATTTTAAAAAAACTGTAACTATAGACTTTTGAATACTGATTTACGAAACAGAACTATTCATAATAATTTAAAAATGTAATAATTTAAATTTATTATAATTTAAATAACGTTTATGTTGGTTACAGATGATTGTGTAAAATTTCTAGATAAACAAGCTAAGTCTCTTGATTTACCAATGAAAATATATTACATCGATAGAAAAAAACCAATTGTTATCTTCACCTGGAAGGGATCTGATCCTTTTTTACCGACAATATTGCTTAACAGTCACATGGATGTTGTACCAGCATTTTCGGTAAGTGTTTTGAAATGCTCTTTTTATTCTGATGACTGAGATTTAATGGTATACGTTTAAGAAATTAACTGCTACTAACACGTATAACAAGATAGAAGCTGTCAAATGATACACGCGCTAAGACCACGTAAATTTTTTTGAAACATAGAGATCTAGCTACAATTCATAAAAATAAGTATTAAACAGGATAGCAAAGTCCAATGAGTATACATTGGGGTTGATTCTGTAAGTGGCAGAACTTTCTTAAGATAAATCAAAAAATTGATTAGGTAATGAAAGAAAAAAAAAAAAAAAAACACTGTTGAACCACGATGAATATATAAATATTCAATAGTATTCTAAAAAACTTGATCCGTCCCTACTTAATTCATACTACGATTAATCAGTCTATAACCCTTGTGTTTATCTTATCCCTACTGGGAAATACGTATTCGCTTATAAATAAATAGACAGTAAGGCCTGAAGTAATCGGAAGTCTCACTCATGAGCAAGAGCTAGATTTAAAAATTCAAGACCTATTGGCAAAGAGGCTGTGAAGAGTTTACGTCATAAAATGAAAATTATGAGTACAAGAGCAGATTATGTAGTTTGTTTATGTCAGATACATTTTTTTTTTATTTATAGAAACAAATAGGTTTGGACACTGATATCTTTAAGACTGTAAAAATATTCAAACATTATCGAATGACCGAAATTCAAAAATTGCTTTTAATTATTTTTCATATTGAGATTGATTTTTCACCAATTACAATTTTTGCTATTTGAGTTGAGCATATCTTTAAAACCATTTTAATATAACAAGAAGGTTATTAAATACTTTTTAAATAACCAAAGTATATACTGTTTGTTTTTCAATCATTTTTTTTGAACTCATATTGTAATGAATATATCACTAAAAACTTTTTGAAAGTGTAGCACTTTCATCGTAGAATTATTATTAATATTATTTTTGATTCTCAATTTATTCGCATTTGCTGCAGTTTCTTTATAATTTCAATTATTAGAATCACTTGAAAAATCATAAATAGTAATTCAATTTCTTTCTATGCTGACAGATTTTGATTCGATGCCCAATGTGTTAATAATAGAAATATATTGCGAGTCCAAAAAAGATTCAAAGCTTGTCAGAAAAGTATCTAGCGTATTATTTTGACCAAGTGAATTCAATTGGAAATTCATCTGTTTCATTCGTCCTTTCTTCTACTCAATGATGCCAATCAGCTGTTGGGCTAAATTTTTATCATACATTAGTTGATCTCTGTTCAAAAATATAATTCTGTCAATGATCAGACTTATTATGTCACGGTATTCAACAATACTTTTGGGTTTTGTATTAAGTGGCTATAGTTAACTAAAATTAGCAAATCCGTTACATATAACTGCAAACTTCTATTTAAAAATTTTTTTTGTCATACAATAAAAATATCAACAAAATATAAATGTTAAAAGGTGATCATATTAGGGCACAACGATTTTTTTAAATATCGAAAATAGTCGCAATCACTTTTTTTGTGATTTGCGAAAACACGATGCATTTGATAAATCAAGTACAACTAAAAAAAAGGTGCAATACAAATACGAATCAATCGAGTTTTTTGAAGCTCCAACCGGTCCAGTAGTTTTTTAGTAAATTTATAAAAACCACTTATTAAACCCATTTTTCTAAATTTTATTTTATTTCATTTTCTTTCTACTGAATATAAAGCAAGAATAATGTTAGACTTTTTGAGAACTTTGTAAAAACTGAAAAATGTCCTTCCGAAAAATGTCTATAAAAAAGTTTTGGGCCAACGTAGACCAAATTTTCAACGTTGATCAAAGTTGTATGATGGACATTTTTTGGAATGACCCTACTTTCATTTTTTTCGAAGTTTCTCAAAAAGTACAACATCGATCGTACGCAAAATTTGTATGAATATTAAGGTTTATTAAAGAATTATCTATCAAAGTTTCAAATATTTATATTCAATAGGACTGAAGTTATGAAATTTCGAAAAAATGTCCCAAAAAGTGTTTTTTTTTTTTTTTTTTTTTTTTTTTTAACGAACTAAAATTTTATTGGACTGATTGGAGCTCGAGAAACTCATTTAATTCTTATTTATATTTGTATTTGTATTTTTACTCCACATTTTTTATTTTATAACGCTTTATTTCTTTAATCCATAGTTTTTTTCGTAAATCGCAAAGAAGGGATTTTGACGGTTTTTGTCATTTTTCTAAACTATTGTGCCTCACTGAGATTGGCGCATATGCTTTATATGTTATTTTTATTATTAGTATTTAACGAAAAAATTTTTAAGTTTAAGTTCACAATTACATATTTGTTTAGGCTACAAATCAGCTAATTTTACCCAAATACTAGTATTATTCAGATTTTTGAGAATATCATTCTAAAACAATGCCACGATGCATGACTCTAAATTATCCATTTTTCAAATAAACCATCTACTTAACGTCAATTTTTCTAATTAAATTTACTATTCTTAGATATTTTAAGCAAAATACTTTTGATTAGTTAATTACCTTGTTCAAATGCCTTATTAGCATCTCCTAGGCTAAACCATCTGGTCAACTCTACTCTCTATGAAACTCACACTTTGATGATATCAATCTTGCATGAAAAGTTGTTGCAACACTTCAACCTATTTAAGGAAGCACCCACCACCTGAATAGGAGCTTTCCATAACGAGCAAAGACGAGACGTGAGTACTATCTAAATCAGTATAACTCAGATGCAATAAATAATTAATAAAAAAATTAATATAGTAGAAGGATTTTGGTGTACTGAAAAACGTAGTTTGAAATTTTTTTTTAAATTGCAAAGAAAAGTTACATTTTTTTTTATGGGTTACTGTGACATCCTATTGGACTAGTCAGTGGGGCCACCTACTCACCACCTACGCGTGGAGGTGTATTGCTGCACTTTTCTATCAATCCCTTCATTAATATCATACCTATATCATACGATGGGTATAGTGGGAATATCTCCGGTGAAACATCTTTCGAGTTAAGCTGGCATTATATGCACCAATGGTGCATCGGATCTACTCACCACTGTGTAGCATTTCCTAGAGAGGACTCCCTATGTCAGGACGTCTACTCCTCGCCACTTAAGCCAGCGCTCTCTGCCGAAGCGTTAGATCCTGGCTGATTAGCATCCCCAGAGAAGTCCCAAGTTTTAGGGACCACTCCTCGCTGGTAAGACCAGTGATCTCTTCCTGGCACCGGGAATTGGATCTACTAATCCCTACTTATATCCCTTACGCTAAAGAGCCGGGATTTCATAGGAACTTTATCCAGTGAAAACAGTTCTTGAAAACATCTGCACTCACCAGAAATCGAACCAACGAGCCCTAGAATGGTGCTGTGTTAGTGAAAAGCATGCTTACTAGTGAGTTAATGCTGCTCCTAAAAAAAGTTCGAATTAACAAAAACAAAAACTAAAGTTAGGTTGGTATGTAGTTAACAACACTTGTTTAAAATCAAAGTTATAAATAATATGTAACTTTTAAATTCATGACAAAAAAGAAAAAAATTACATAGTAGTATTTGTTGTAGTTTGATTGGTAATTAAAAAATATAATGGGTTAGAAATTTTCAATTAGTCAAGTCACCTGTATATTGAGCTGCAATATTTCTTTTTTCTATCGAAATGATGTCAGCACACTGCGGTATTGAAATAAAAGTATCTAATTATTATTCAGCATTAAAACTATTGATGAAGAACGTTAAGCTTACTTTCAATCCTTTAACTTTATATATTTTTTTACTATATAGTTATGGTATTCCTTACAAACCACTTTCATCGTAGAATTATTATTAATATTATTTTTGATTCTCAATTTATTCGCATTTGCTGCAGTTTCTTTATAATTTCAATTATTAGAATCACTTGAAAAATCATAAATAGTAATTCAATTTCTTTCTATGCTGACAGATTTTGATTCGATGCCCAATGTGTTAATAATAGAAATATATTGCGAGTCCAAAAAAGATTCAAAGCTTGTCAGAAAAGTATCTAGCGTATTATTTTGACCAAGTGAATTCAATTGGAAATTCATCTGTTTCATTCGTCCTTTCTTCTACTCAATGATGCCAATCAGCTGTTGGGCTAAATTTTTATCATACATTAGTTGATCTCTGTTCAAAAATATAATTCTGTCAATGATCAGACTTATTATGTCACGGTATTCAACAATACTTTTGGGTTTTGTATTAAGTGGCTATAGTTAACTAAAATTAGCAAATCCGTTACATATAACTGCAAACTTCTATTTAAAAATTTTTTTTGTCATACAATAAAAATATCAACAAAATATAAATGTTAAAAGGTGATCATATTAGGGCACAACGATTTTTTTAAATATCGAAAATAGTCGCAATCACTTTTTTTGTGATTTGCGAAAACACGATGCATTTGATAAATCAAGTACAACTAAAAAAAAGGTGCAATACAAATACGAATCAATCGAGTTTTTTGAAGCTCCAACCGGTCCAGTAGTTTTTTAGTAAATTTATAAAAACCACTTATTAAACCCATTTTTCTAAATTTTATTTTATTTCATTTTCTTTCTACTGAATATAAAGCAAGAATAATGTTAGACTTTTTGAGAACTTTGTAAAAACTGAAAAATGTCCTTCCGAAAAATGTCTATAAAAAAGTTTTGGGCCAACGTAGACCAAATTTTCAACGTTGATCAAAGTTGTATGATGGACATTTTTTGGAATGACCCTACTTTCATTTTTTTCGAAGTTTCTCAAAAAGTACAACATCGATCGTACGCAAAATTTGTATGAATATTAAGGTTTATTAAAGAATTATCTATCAAAGTTTCAAATATTTATATTCAATAGGACTGAAGTTATGAAATTTCGAAAAAATGTCCCAAAAAGTGTTTTTTTTTTTTTTTTTTTTTTTTAACGAACTAAAATTTTATTGGACTGATTGGAGCTCGAGAAACTCATTTAATTCTTATTTATATTTGTATTTGTATTTTTAC